TTGAACTGGAAGCTGTGAGACTAAGTATATTAAGCTTTAAAGTTTCTTTATGTGTGGCACTCATCTTCCTCAGCCTCACATACAAAGACACACCAAGACACTGAAAACCAACCTTGAGCAACAGAACAATTCATTGCAATGTTCAGTGACCTAAATCTACTCTGCGTGCAAGGGGTAATGACTTCATCCTCAACCACATATCTGAATCCATGTCCATCACCAGATACTCATCTGAATATTGTGATCCATAATCTGTTGCAAGAAGACCTCCACGAATGATTGATTCAACAGAGATAAAAACTGAGAGTGAGTGATGTCGGGCCTTGACTTGATTGAAGCGAAGGTCATTATCCCGTCCACGATTCTCCAAATCAGGTGGAAGATCCATGGGTAGGATAAGTGCCATGTGATACTCCTTGTCAAGAACTTGAAGTCCAAAAATGTAGAGTAAGCGTGCAAAGATATACTTCTCCTCATCAATCTTGACAATGATGCAATCATATCGTGGCTTGCCATGGAATTTTGGGTTGGCACGAAGAAGGTCAGTGGCTACACACCAGTCATCTTTTGATTCATAGTTAACTCTTAGCAATTGAAAGGGATTGATCTATTGAATTCAGATACCATCATAAGTGGACAAGAGTAGTCTTCAAAGGTCAAAATTTACCTGATCACTTGGTCCAAACCTTACCGATCTTCCAAGATATCTTGTAAAAAAGTGTCCAATCTTCTTGCAAAAATCTTTGAATGCAGAGTCTGCACTGTGTTCATCCTCAAGGTCTTAAAATGCAACTGGTGCACATTGAGAACCCAAGGATACATGGGCCGTTCCAATGATGTTTCGTGTCACCTGGATTTGGCTATCTTCAGCAGATGCTTCTGCCTGGGATAAATCAAGGTAGTCAATGTCATCGCGGATGACAGTTGCAACTAAATCGGCATGATCAAATTTGAGTATCTTATTTATGTCAATTTAAAACAGGACTTTGAATAGTTAGAGAATTTAGCAAATACCTGTGGTGCAACATTCTTGAAATTTGTTCGGAACTTGTAGCTGTTTTTGAATGCACCATGACATTTTTCATTGGGCTTTGTATTATAGTTTCGTGTCACCCCTT